TTTTGGTTATCGATCATCAAAACCGGGTAACGTGAGTTGGCGCAGCGATTATTAGGTCACGTTTTTCCGTCCTCACATTTCGCCCCCGTTTAAAGGCGAGTTCCACGAGCCAAAGTCAAACGACGGGAAACAAGTTTCCACCAGGATCGAATGCCATCGAGGCCGATTGAAGCAGAGATAAGTACCAGGGCATTCTTTTGTCTATTTCGTTTATGATCCTTTGTTCCACTTCTAATGCCATTATTCTTTCTTTTGTTTTAGGTTCATTATCCAATACGGTAATTATTTCTTCGAGGGCCAATTTCGAAATCTTTACAACGGCTTTCCTTTTTGTGTCGTTTTGTTGGTCACATGATTTCGGGTGAGTTTCGTTAAACTTTTTCAATTTTCCTGGTTCTTTCATTAACGCTTTAAATTTTTCTACCCTTCTATTCCAATCATTACAGGCATCTTCAAGACTTCTGAAATCTACTGATTTTAGTCTTTCGATCTTCTTCCACTTTCCGGTTTCTTCTTCAGCAACGATTGTCTTTCTATCGTCATCGTCGTCGTTATCGCCATCATCGGCTTCTTCAAGGCTTACAGGTACATTGTCTTTTTCCTTCTCAATGTTTAAATTCGCAGATTCTTCATAATATCCACATGTTTTACATTCATCTTTTCTAATTCCATTTTGGTAACAATAACCAACATTATACGCACCATTAGCATTACCCATATCAGCAGGGTTTTGATGATGGACGAAGGCTTTCTGTTCATCCGTTTTGACACCAATTCCATTTCGATTGCAATGTCCAACGTTATACGTGCCAACAGGAGAGCCCAACTCACAGGATTCCAGGTGGCTAATGAAGGGTTCATATTCGTCCTTTTCGACTTCACTTCCATTTTTGTGATGATAGCTGACGTCAAGAGTTCCATCATCATTTTCCATATCAGCAGCTTCTTGAAAATATTTGAACGCTTTACGTCCATCTTTTTCAACTCCACTCTTTTCGACCTTGATTCCGTTGTTTTCTTCCTTTTTAACATCGATTCCTTTTTGGCAGCAATACCCAGAGTTGTCCTTTCTATTGGCACGACCCCTCTCTGCCGGTTTTTGATAATCAGTGGACACCTTAGGTTCATCCTTTTTAAGATCAGTTCCATCTTGATGACAGTATCCACGGTTCACAGGTTTGGGCATCCAGGTTTCTAGCATTTTCATATAACCGTCGATCAGACTTTCTAGAGTGGCGTCACTCTCAGAATCACTAACCTCGGCTTCTGGGGCAAGATAGAGGTCCATTATTTCACTGGTTGGATCCTTTTTGACCCGAGATGTTGGTGGGAGAACCCTCGGCCTAGGAGCTACTGGGCTTTTCCTTTTCGTCCTTTTTACAGTTTGGGCCAGGTGGATATACGAAGGTAGGTATATAACGTCTTCTTCGTCATCATCATCAGAGTTGTTATCCCAGCTAACATCTTTTAATATTTCTAAAAAACATTCCAGGTCTTGCGGGTCATAAAAACTACGGTTTTTCATGGGTTCATCCATCATCTCCAGAACTTTCGCCGTTTGCTGATAATTCCAATTGGCGGTGGTTGGTTCATACATTTTTTTAGAATTCCAAGAGCTCTTTATCATAGGTAAGTACTAATCTCCTTCTTGAGTCTTTCCTTGAACCTATTCTCACTAACTCTTGTCTTCCTTGCTGTCTCAACCCGGGATTACTATACGTCGAATCGGGGTTGGTACTCTTCTTCTTGGATAAGTTTTCTCTTTTTCTTTTAGCTTCGGCTTTCCACACTTCGTCGGTACTAACCGGAACTATGCTAATTCTTCTCTTTTTCCACAGCCAGGATTACAGTACGTCGAATCGGGCCGGAGTCTTTTCTCTTTCTCTTGGGTTTCGGGTCTCCAATTTTGCAGCCCAGCTGCTGGAACGATTCGTTGCCGGGGAAGTTGTACGATCTCACAGTCACCACCAAAAATGTCGGTACCGGAAGGACTGCGACTCGGTCGCTCCACAATCCAAAAACTCGCGTAACCTGCGGGTAGTAGCCTTACGAAAGAGGTGTGTTAGATTTGGCTGGTGGGTGATTTAAGGCTTCGGTTACTCTGAGTCAGCAACGCTAGGT